AAAATCTGTATTTTTTGCCTAATTAATTAGGTAAAAACCCGAATTTTCGTTTTTCTCCATTACATTCTACATTACAAAAGCTGACGTTTCGAGCGTTAGCCCTTCGTCGGAGCGAATAGAGGAATTGTGGGTTGTGTGTGCTTTTAAAGGCAGAAAATAGAGCTACGTTATTGGTGGGAACATGGCAACGAGAAAAACACGAATATCATGCTAATTTGGTTCTATCAACTAAGTTGAAATTGTAAATTGGCCACCGTAAAGAGTTAAAAAAAACCTGACGTTTGGAGCGTTAGCCCTTCGTCATTCGCTCTGACGAAAGGGCTAACGCTCGAAACGTCAGCATTTTTAAACTCTTTACGTTGGTCAGTTCACAAGTTCAACTTAACCAAATGACCTTGTTACCCCCACCGACGCAGCATCACAGTTTCTTTAGAAACTTACTCTCTTTACTCATCTATCATGCTAAGGTTGCTAAGGTTGCTAAGGTTGCTAAGGTTGCCTCTAGAATTCTTCGCATTGTTGTTTTTAACCCTATTTACCTTGATCATCCCTCCACGGACGATTGTGGTTTACGCAGCCTTATTAACATTTTAGTTTGATCAGATCTTTCAGTGATCCTGTTTCCAATGCCAGCAGTTTCGTCTATCATCGCTTCTTAATTGGTTCACTATTCTGAACGTACTTTAGTTGCATTTGCTATAACTCCCGCTTGACAACAATAAACTTTGAAAAATTGAATTGATCATAAAAGCTTTCCGAAAGGAAATCCAAATGACATTGTCATCAACTTGTTCTTTTCACTTTTAGCTCTTAAAAGCCCTTTTCTATAAATGCGTTATTTTCTTGGCAAGCTTTTCATCTGCACTCTCGTTGAATTCTATGAAAACGCACATATTAGTATATTAGAGTGTTGCGAAGAATGAAGCGGGCCAATATCCGGTTCCTTTTGCACTCATCTTCCCGGATCTTTCATCTTTCCGCCTCCCAGTCTGCATTCAAACAGACGATACACTTGTTCTGAATAGAAAGTTGTATTCATGCACTGACAACGTCTGAATAGAAAAGCAAATGGAAATAGATAATGAAAGTTGTTTCGTTGTATTCATGCTCCATGGACCACATTTAAATAAGAGTCAGGGTGTGAATCTCTCCACTCAACCCGAAGGAAGCCATAAAGAATCGTCATGCCAAACACAACATCACCTTTGTGTGGTTACGATTTCAGTTTTCCCGTAAATCTCACAAATATCTCACCTGGCGTTTATTCTGCGTATGCCATGACTGTCGCTTTTAATATCTTCACTTGCCCTCTCGCAATTTTGCTGAATATTATGGTAATAATTGCCGTGAAAACAAATCGACAACTTCGCACAAAATCTAACATTTCGCTGGCTTGTTTGGCTACGACAGATTTTGCCGTAGGACTCATTGTTCAACCTTTGTACATAGTCCTTTTCATCTTTATCCACAAAGGTGGCAGGACCCAAAACGCGATCTGTGATGTTATTGACGTATCCGACTCGGTTGGCCAAACATGTGTTGCAGCATCATTTCTCCATTTGTTGTTAGTGAGCGGAGAGCGTTATCTAGCGATTAAACACCCCTTCGCGTATGAAAATGGCCTGGTAACTGAAGCTCGTATCATCATGGCATCTGGCTTGGCGTGGATGTGTGCACTGACAATCTATAACGTTAATATCGACATCTTTAAAGGAATACAAGTTTTTCTGACCATTGCTATCATCTCCACAGTGATGTATATTCATATCGTCGTATACAAAGAAGTTCGTCGTAACACATTGCAAATCATAACCAACCAAGTTTCTTTAGAAGTAAAAGAAAAGTTATTGAAAAATAAGAAAGCCTTTAACACAACTGTCGTAATACTCCTGACACTTTTGCTTTGTTATATTCCGATAAGTGTTTGGATGATTATTTTTATGTCTTCGAATGGAAAGATCTCATCTGAAGATGGACAAATCGTTTTCTGTCTTGCTGGGTTCCTCGTGGTGCTAAATTCGTCGATAAACCCACTTATCTTTACTGTAAGAAACAGACAGTTTCGCGTAGCTTTCATTCAGCTGTTAACAAGAAAAACCCTTGTGCAAGCCGAGGAACTTGAAAACAAGATATTTGGATCTAATCATGCGGCAGTTGCATAAACTGAAACACGACCGAACGAGATAGAGCAGCGGGGACTGGTGTGAATCGTAACTAGTAGTGAGAAATACAAGGACAAGCTTAAAATTACAGTTGAAACTGTGAAAGCGTAGTGCGACAACCTGTGCGGAAGTCATCATCAGAGTCAAGCGATTAGTTGTTGTCAGTAGAATGTTCTTAGTCCAGTTCGTGTAAAATGATTCGTCAGTTTTGCCGTGATGTTATTGGTTGTAAGACTGAAGTGGCGTAAGTCGGTCGTGATTGGTTTGTTTCGATCCTTCGGTAAAGCTAGGTCGTTCTGTTCGGTTCGTTTGTAATGTTAATGAATGAGTCGTTTGTATGGAGCCGGTAGTGGTTGACACCTCTTGAGGGGAGTCTGTTCTAAGTTAGTAAACCAGTTTTTCAGAGTCAGTCATTGAAAGTAGTTAGTGCTGTAGTTTAGGTATTGCGAAGTTGACACTGAATTTAGCGGTCACCCCGCAATTCCCCGTGGGTGACTGCTTAGGACAGGTTTGACTGTACGTATGCACGGAGAAAGTGAACTTGATAAAGAAAATTAGTAGAATCATAATACTCTCTTTACTGAAACGTTGGAAGCAAAAAATGAATAAAAACTGTTGCTGGAAAGTTTTTTTGCAAGAGTTCTTCTTTCAATTTGGACCTGAAACATGCGGTATCATTCGTTTCAAAAACTAGGACGCCGGGAAGGTTAGCTTATTTTTTAGCACTTTAAGAACAAATATGGAAAGAATTTTGATTGGCCTTGAACATTGATTGGTCGCTGAATCTGTAAGCCCGCAGAAATCAGTTGTCGCAAATAGGTGATGTAGTGTTTTGCATGTTGAATGTTGATTCTCGTTATCTGACGTTGAGTGGAGAGATTCGCCCCTTGTCTCTTATCTAACATTGTTTCATGGCGCACGAATACAGTGAAACAACTATCATGATTATATATTTCCATCTGCTTTTCGATTCAGAAGTTGTATTGTCTACTGGAGTGTAGAGCCGGAAAGCCAACAATCCAAGAAGATTTGCGGACTGGATGAGTGGAAAAGTATTCGGATTTTGGCTTGAAAAGCTATAGAAAAGGGCTTTAAGAGCTAAATATGAAAAGGACAACTTGATGGTAATTTCATTTTGATTTTCTTTGGGAAAGCCTTCCTAATTGACGGCAATTTCCTCAGGACTTCCCCTTCCACGTTCTTACCGTGCGCATCATGCGGATGCCAATTTATTTAAACTCCACGGATCAAAATACAAAAAAGCTACTTTAAATCTATGTGCCCCTTAATATAAAAGGAGAGGAGGTAGGTCAAATTAAAACACAAATACATCACAATCATCAAACTGAATGCGAACGGCAGGTCAGGAAAACGCCCTTACGAAGCTCACATCAAGGAATCGATGGGCATGCCCATATTACGATACTCGTAGCCTCTCTAAGAGCAGTACCTATCCAACTGGTAAAAATAGAATCAATTTATGCCAGAGGTTCTCATATACATTTGTGCTTACAGGAAACCACTCTTCGTTACGAGCTGCCTCTGTACTCACACTAGTCCAGCCAAGCAAAAATCACAATTTTAAGTTCTCTCATAGTATTTGAACGTGCAGGTCATGTCGAAGGTACAGTCCTCAAAATGGATTAAAATTTCCGGATTTTCTCAGCAAAGTTTCATAGTCGGATTAGAGCCACGAGGTATTTTCCAGGTGCTATAGTTTCCTAAGTGACTTTTATTCCTATTCGGACCTTTTTAATAACAAACTCACTTTCAAACGAAGGTTACAACGAATACTACCAAACCATATCATAGGTAAACCAAAACAGTGAATGAATTAAGATGGGATCTGATCAAACATTTACCAGAAATAGGGGCTACCGTGATAAACCGCATGAACGGAGGGATAATCACGTTAGGTACAACAACGAGGAAATCTTACAGAGTAACAATGGGTTGATTATGCCCACATTGAAACTAAGGATGCAACTGAGGA